GATGAGTAGACCTTATGTCAAAGATTGTAATTGATATAAATAAACAGCATTCGTTATGATTAATTTATCCATTTTTGCTGTTTATTTGACTTGTTACCAATGTTTCCAACAGAACATAATTAGGGGCCCAGGTCTCTTGTGGGTCGAAAGCTGAAAAGTTTGTGAAGCACTGGGTAAGATTTCTCCACTCCAAACGGATCAAATGGATTTCAGCTGTTTTCAGTCACTTCAGCTGTTAAAGGTAAACAAACTGATGTTGTAGTTGGCAGCAGTTCACTATTTTTGCTTACAAATTTATATGGAAAAAAGTAATGATCAATATGAAAAAAAATATTTCTTTACCAATCCTCATTAGCTTCCAATGTATTATTTAAAAAAGTTTCAAAATATTGTCTAAAGTCTGAGGTGCTATAATCTACCTATAGAAGTGGCTTACATTTTTAGTATTCATTTTCACAAATAAAGTTATTAAGCTAATAAGTCAAATACAAACATAATGCATTAGCTAAATAATATATCCTAAAAATTATGTATTAAAAAAGTCAGTATTTTGTTTTACTTTTCATCAGGTACACCCCTTTTTATTATTTTTTTTCTAAATCAGCAACAGAATAACAAAGTCAAGACATGACAAAAACAAAACAAACATTATTTCCTCCTAAATAATAAAAAATCTATATATTGAAGAATATGATGTTCACAGTTATGGGGTTATCTATTTAACAAAATAATTAAATAAACAAACAATGCTCCCATTCAGAGCCGGCTCATGGCATAGGCGAACTAGGCGGTCACCTAGAGCGCCATCTGATGGAGGGGGCGCTGAACTGCAGAAGAAAAAAAGTAATTATTTGTAATCCCTGGTTGTAACTGGTTGTAGTTATTTAGCTTTGTCTTAAAAATCAATGAAGTATTACAGGACAAATAAACTACTCTACCCATAAAACATTTTCTCTCCCGCAATGCAGCAATCTCCCCCACCCTCTCTCATTTGATTGATGTTGCACTGACTCATCCTGCTCCGACACTCTGACAGGGAAGGGGCTAGTAGTGCCTGTCAGGTAGCGGTTCGTGTTGACAAACTCAATAACAACAAGTCTGTATTTTGTTGTTTTGTTGTATTTGCTTTCTGGGGAAGCAAATAAATCTAAGTTTACCATAGTACCTTACACTGTCAAACTTGTTTTTAGGGGTTCAAATTGGGGTGGGTGGGACATATTTCGGGGGGGTGGGGGTGCGCTTCAACTTGCCTAGGGCACCAAAATGGCTAGAGCCAGCACTGCTCCCRTTGTTAAAACACCTTCTGTAGATAAAGTGTAAAGTTTCTCCATGTTTATAAGAAATGATCCATTTTCAGTTGGACACTTCCAGTCATTTTGTTTCTGTTTTTCACACCTGCTTCAGTCTCACAGTTCACTGCAGTGTTGCTTTCCCATGCACGTGTTTAGTGTCATTTCTGTATCATCTCACAGGTTTTGTTGGGAAAAAAAATGGTTGCTACAGAGGCTCCTCTGCTCCAAAATGCAAATATGTGTGACACTTTTACCTTGCTGATTTAATGAGAGCCGTTAAATGTAAGCTTTCATCATATTAAAAGCACCAGTTCTCTCATRCGTCCACATTAGTTAGAGATCAAAGCCAGATGAAAAAAAAAAACTGCATTAAGTTGAGCTTCCATGGTTATGTTTTTCCACCACTTGTCTGTGTTTCCTGCAGTCAGCCTCATTTCTGCAGAGAGCGTGACCTCCTGTGACTCTGATGTGCACTAACCTCTGATTTCAAATGGAGAGACCCAAACATGCAGCCACACTCATACAGTATTTAGGAAGCACAGAGCCCAAAAGGGTCAGCCCCCAAACACGTTTTCTCTCTTTCTCTGCCTCACCAACACTCCTTGTGTGCACGTAAAAGCATCATCTTGCAGAGAAGAATTAAAGGCCTCTCYGATCACAAACCGCCCCTTCTCTCCCCCCCGTCCCTCTGAGAGCACAGAGGCTGGGTCTCTGTCACTTTAACAACATGAAATTACAACCCAAATGGGATGTCAGGGGTTAGCAGTGTCTCTAAAAGAACTATGCGAATATATTTCCTCCTATGGACTTGCCCCCGTACTGACCTCCYGCAGGAACAAAAAGTAACACAGTGATTGGCGTTTTTACAGCCAAATTAAACCATCTTGCAGCCTGCTGAAGGCAGCAGGAGAAAGCAGCCGCTCCAAAATTAGTGAGCCATCATCATGACAGAAAGTAGTGGGGACATGGTGTCATCCAGCCACGGTATCGATTAACCCATAAATAGTATATGGCCCTTACACTGCGGCTCTCCCAGGCGCACACTGTAAATGGAAGTTATCTCAGCTGTGCATCTGTCTTGCTTTGGCTTACGCGCTAAAAACCTGACATCTAAGAGTGGAACTTGGCCGGGAGCGTGGTTCATTGTGGGAAAGAGCGCGGCACTCATCTGATTAGAATTGCACAAATACGTTTGTTGATATTTTTTGAGTTTTACTGTTAAAACTGAACAAAACCTGAAGTGTTTTGTAGGGTTAAAAACACCATTTTTAAAGATKTGACACCTTCATATTTTTGATTAAATATTCAAATGTTTTCCTTTCTCTTTATTTTCCAAAGAACCAAATGTGATTCTCTCTAATGTCAGGTAGCGCTGCTTCATTACTCTTCTCCTTTTTGCGTTTGGCACCAGGATTATCATTAAAAGGGATCATCTGTCAAGCCTGAATTGATTTGCACACAAGTTCGCCCAATCAATCTCAAAGTTGCGATTAAAAAGCACCAGCTTCCTCTATTTTTTTCTTTTTTTCATGAAAATCTTTTGGCAAAAATAAATAAATAAATAAATAAATGAATAAAAAAGGAGAGGCCTTTCTTTCAATTTCATGGCCTCCTAGAACACTCAAGTATTCATTGAGCTCCACTTTTTTGCTTTCAACCTCTCTGCAGGAGGCAGGACTCATGACATCTATACGCTGCTTCTCTTCACGCTGAGCTGCAGCCTGTAGATGTGCACTGCGAGTGATCCTTCAATTCCATCAAGTTGCTCTTATTGGCCTGCACTCAGTTTTATGGGCCTGTCCAGAAAAGTAGCAAAGTCAGATCGTAAACTGACAGTTTTGTTCCCATAAGAAGATCCATTAGACACCATTTTGTCCAAACTTTCATGAGCAGTCTTCTGTAATAAGGCAAAGAAAATGAAGATTAACTTGTTCTCCGTTTGTTTCCTGCAAACAGATAACTGTTTGTCCGTGTRCGTGCTTTGTTGGCTTATCTGTGTATTCATGTGGTTCTCGTGTGACTGTGGGTGCATAATGCATGGCCATGTTGTGAAGAGTGATTGCTTTATTCCTGCCTTGTAGGTGCTACGGGGGCCAGGGACGTGTCATTGGGCAGCTGTATGGATGGCTCGAGGAGGTCTCCATCATTCATAAAGCACACTCCTACATGTAGAATTGATCTTGCAAAGAAACAGGGTGGCAATAGCAGTTCATCAGTCTTCCCAAACCACAAATCACTCTGAGGTGTGGCYCCCCCCCTGGGAAGGATGTGACACCATTGTCTGAGCAGAGGTCCCAGGAACTCTCGCTCACATGGTGGCATCAGAGCATGCATCAAAATGTGAAAAGGGCTTTCTTTTAGGATGAAACTCATGAACGTCAAATTATACAATATTATTTTAAAAAAGATATTCTTCTGTAGATAAATGCAGTTTTTGTTGTGTGAATGCTGAGTCAGTGTGATCC